ACGCTGGCTCCTTAGTCACGTCTACGTTGTTCAAGCCTGCTGTCTTCCTGCTAATCGGTGTGCTTGATTGTTTCCTGAGAGAGGTGAAGACCCTACCCTGAGGTGGTGGATTCGACCATTTGTCTTTGACGTCCTGCTTTTTCCTTTGCACACTGTGAGGTTAGCCTCGGTACGCGCAGGCTTAGACTGTTCCTTCTTTGACCAATGACTTTTTCCCTGAAGCACCGATAGTGCTTTTTGTTTCAAAGTCAGGTTTGCCAGATGTTCTCTTGCCGCGGCAACTCTTCGAAAGCAGGAACTGGCCCGAGCGCCTGCGACGCCGTAAGCCCATCCTTTCTGTGCTGCTTCCTCGCTTCTCGTAAGCACCATGCTGCCGGCCTGGTTCTTAACTGAAGATGAGCAGCTCTTTTAACAGACAGTCTGCTTCGTTTGTTTAGCTTATTGTTACGTTGGGACTATCTTCTCTCGTATTTTTAATTAATTACGAGGCCTTGTCTTTGTTTCTTTTTTCCTCCTTTTTTACTCTCCACTGGATTAATAAAGCTTTCGTTCTTAAGTTTTTCTTTCTTTGGTTTGGAAGTTATGCATTCCACTTTTGTTCGTTTGCAGTTACCTCCCCCACAAACTGGATGTAAAAAGTCAAAAGTTAACTAGAATCTCCATCTTCTGTTCCAACAACACAAGGATTTCAGGGCACTTTAATGCCAGCCAAGCACAAGCCTCTTTTTTATTGTTGTCTGGTATTCTGATACCACCTTGTTTTAACCCCTGTCAAAAGTTATCTATTTAAAATTTTTACATTTGGTGCTTTTTTTTTTTTTGATATTCTAAAGCATATGCATTTTATTTATTTTTTAAAATTTAAATCCAAAATAGTTAACATATAGCGTAATAATAATTTCAGGAATAGAATTTAGTGATTCATCAGTTACATACAACACCCAGTGCTTATCCAGCAAGTGTCCTCCGTAATGTCCTTCTCCCATTTAGCCCATCACCCGCCCAGCTCCCCTCCAGCAACCCTCAGTTTGTTCTCTATATTTAAGAACTTCTTGTAGTTTGTTTCCCTCTTTGTTTTTATGTTATTTTTACTTCCCTTCCCTAATATTCATTTGGTTTGTATCTTAAATTCCACATGTGTAGGACCATATGGTATTTATCTTTTTCTGACTTAATTTGCTTAGCATAATACACTCTAGTTCTATCCACGTTGTTGCAAATGGCAAGATTTCATTCTTTTTGATCGTTGCCGAGTAATATTCCACCGTATGTATAAACCACATCTTCTCTATCCATTCATCAGTCGATGCACATTTGGGCTTTTTCCATACGGTTCTTGTCAATAGCACTGCTATAAACATGGGTACCTTTGCCTCTTTGAATCAGCACTCCTGTATCCTTTGGATAAATACCTAGTAATGCAATTGGTGGGTCATAGGGTAGTTCTGTTTTTAATTTTTTGAGGAACCTCCACACTTTTCCAGAGTGGCTGCACCAGTTTGCATTCCCACCAACGGTGCAAGAGGGTTCCCATTTTCCACATCATCGTCAGCATCTGTTGTTTCCTGAGTTGTTAATTTTAGCCATTCTG